TTTTTTTTTTTTTTTCTTCAAACGTGATTCTTGCAAGATCACATTTTTTTTTTTCTATAGTGCGCGGAATATTGCTTTCCAAAATGGAAAATCATCGAAGCAATCACATATGTGCACACATATGTGTGTATAATTATAGTACAGTAATTTATACGTGTTATTTTGAACGATTAGCCAGCTTTATTATTTATAAAAAAATTGTCAGATTTCGGTATTCGATAAATTTTCTTTTTTAATTACATTTTTTCCAAATTTAAATTCGCAAATTTAAAAATATCCTGACGAGTTCCTGGTATTTTTATTATAAATTATAAATATTCATATATATGATTCAACATTATTAAATATTATTAAATATTTTTATTACAAAATATAATTTAATAATATTAGCTTGCTAAAATTCTTTAACTTATCCCTAAAGCTAGCTTATCATTCTCGTATATTCGTTTTCGATTATCGATCATCATCATCATCGTCATCATCATCATCATCTTTCTTTCTTCGCAATATTTACATTAATCGAAATAAATAAGTAAAAAAAAAAAAAAAAAAAAAGAATGAGATTGAAATTATAATCAGTCTCAAATTGAAAACAAAACAACGCGTTCTCCGTCATCTTATCTAAAATTTGTCCCCCTCCTCCGCCCCTGGAAGGCGTATAATTGTAATTTAACCGGTAATCGGTAGCGAACACTCGAACGTCTCGTTCCACAACGAGGAAATACTCTTTCGACGTTGTAAACCGGTTTACATTCTGTTTTTTCCACGTTGCTCGAACATTTCATCGGCAAAAATCCTCCCCAAGAGTACGCATTACGCGAAACGTGATTTTTTTCCCCCCCCCCCCTCCCTCCCTCCCCTCCGTCATGACCATTAACCTTTCTCAATTCTGTACTTTCGATATATGCCTGCACAGTCATCCTCCCATCTGTATTATCTCACAAAGAAATTCAATTCGAAATTCTTGGCAAGCATGATGCCCTCGCGCAGAAACATTTCTCGTTGAATGGAAAATAACTTCGAGTGGAAATTAGTTTTCATTAAAAAATTTTTGAATGTTTTGAAACAAATTTTTTTTCGTCTCTCTTGACATATTAGTGATTATTATTTATTGTGTTGAAAAAAAAAAGAAATAGAAAAATTGTATATAAAAAAATATAAATTATTTATTTATAAAGTAATTTAAGTTAGAAAATAAAATGAAGATAGAATCAATCTTACTCCATCTTTATTTCATCTAACTTAAATTGCTTGTATAACTATACAAGTTTCAACCGATATTTTTATATATATATACATTAACTTTTATAATTAATTGTTTTGACTTCTAAAATCGATTTTTTAAAGGCGTGCCACGAATATATTAACGCCTTGTATAATTCATTACGCTCAACGCATAATAATACGTTGGAAAAATATCAATTGAAATCAATAGTAATACAACATTATATTTATTTATGGAAAAAAAAAAAAAAAAAAAAAAAAAAGAAAATGCATACATTTATATATCCATGTTAGCAAAATTAATCAATAACGATACGCACACGTTTAATTTCTTTGTAACAAAATGTATCGGTATCTCGAGTCGAAAGCCAATTTCCACCCACGCAGTATCAAAGGTACCAGTTTAACTAAAATTAATCTGTCTTATAATAACGCGATTACCGCGGCCACGATAGTGTTCAGGGCACATTCGTGTACTCGGAATCAAATTCACCTTGTATTATGCTAACGACATGCTAATGGCCCCCTTCTTTAACGACCGTTTCCTTTTGTGAGCTCGCTTTTGATTCCTCGAGTTCTCCTCCTCGACGTCCATGGCTTCCCATCTGGCGATATTAATTACGAAATATTCCTGTCCACCGGGCCGGAGAAACAAAAGGATGGGGGGGAAAAAAAAAAAAAAAAAAAAAAAAAAAAAAAAATCAAAATTGAATATTTCGGATATTATAAACTTTCGCAGTATCGAGCCCCTAAATTGCATTATGCCGTCCCGTGAACTATTCTATAAATATTCAACAAGATATTATCGATCAATTGTGATGTAAATCGACTCGGTCGATAAAATAGTTAATAATCGCAAGTTTATATTTATTAGCGTGAAACGGGGATGCAAACGAAGAGCGATGGGAGGCAAAGAGAATCAATTGGGTCGAAGAGTAGAATGGAGAGAGAGAGAGAGAGAGAAAGA